TCTGCAGAAAAATTTTCAATTGCAGAGACGTTAACTGGTTTCACCTTCGATCCGGTATCTCTGCGATGCTAATTGGTATACTTCACGTTTCAATAAACATCGTGAACAATTACGTTGGGACTATTTTCTTTTTTTCTGGCATAGCTATGTTGTATCTTCAGCGGTATATATCTATATATATATATGTTTTTGTTTTGGTATAGCAAGTCGACGTGTAAGTAACTTGAGTATCAATCGATTAACTTGGCTAGCACATACATCAACAACTTATACAGGGTTCATCGGCATATCCTTGCTCTCGAGGCGCGTCCCAGACAGGATAAAGCAGAGCTATTATTCGCGTCTCGTCACACACATTTTCCCGCGATGCGGCGCGTGTGCAATCGCGCCGATTATCCAATTTACCCTGCCTCGTCGAAAGCTGCAGCCTCACGATGCGCGCGCGCTCGATCGGACAAGAAAAAAAAAATCTGACAGCGAGGAGCGAACGAAGATGTGGCGTGAAGAATGCGTTGCTTCGTGATGTTTATCTGTGCACACCGGATTAAAGAAATGCATTGGAAAAACAGTGACGCAAATGTACGCTTCATTTCATTCTACTATGTCGAACACAATGTTCGATGTATTGCACGCGAAATTGTTGACCGTACGTTTGTGATGAAATTGAATTTGGAATATTGAATTATTGTTTGCCGATGAAATACATCATTAATTTTGATTTCATGTATAATTATTTGTATAAGTAGCTAAATTATTATACCTTAATTTTAACGAAACGCGTGCTATTTATAAATTAGTAATTAGCCTTCGTGACCATAAAATGCAAAAAATGATTTGGATGATAGAGTAGACCGTTGAGTTTGAAGAGATATGCTCACGTCGAGTTGTAATAAGGGTAAAAAGAACTGCAAAATTTCCATCGTGGGGCAGATAAAGGCGTCGCTAAGGTGTTGTACCTTTCGCTTTCTGCAAAAAGACGTAACCGCGGCGCCGATGCAAGTGCAGTGTACGACGCCGTGCACAACTATACCGTGACCTTGGCAGATTGGCCCTTTCCCCAATTCCCAATGGCTCTACAATGTAATGCCGCTCGATTAGCTGTCTCGACAATGCTTTGTGTACCGTCATCTTCGAGTCTTGTAAACAACGTAAACATTGATCGATGGTTCAAGTTTCGACCGCATAAGTACTCTTCATTGAAAAATTTTCAATTACAAAGCACGTAAATCATTAAACTGCAAAGAAGGTAATCATAATCGCGTATGATGACAAGGCAGCGTACCATCTTCAACATGTACAGCTCTGCCAACTAAATTAATTGATCGTAAAATTTTAATGAAAGACACCAGGATTCGCACGTAAATAAACTTTATAACGACAATCATCCGAATGTTTAATAATTTTTCGTAAGTTTATTGGGAGTGTAAAATTCCACGGTACGTAAAACTGGCTAGCCGCCTTATTATGAAGAACAACACCTTGACATGCTTGTAAAACGAGATGCGATCAATGAGAATCGAGCTTTCAAGCTCTTCAGCCTCGCCCATTCGTGTAAATCTGCTAAACTGATATATCAATGTAGCTTGACAGCTACTGCACTAATGTCAATATAGTTGTTGTACGAACTCAGTTGAAAGCGTATTTACTGATAACTAAATCTTGAGAAATCAAGGTCGTTCAGACTTACCGACTAGCGAGCCCACCATACGCGTGTCGCAGTAGCTAATTACTTGTACTGCTATAGTCATAGACAATGTATTCAACTTTATTTTTTATTAATCTACATTATACATATACTTATAAGTTTCTTTAATACGATACGTAGTGTATTAAATGAAATTGTATTTTTTTACATCCTCGATTGGAAAAACCGAATTTATTTAATTACGCATGAATGGATTAAGAGTAATAGTACATTACATGTGATCGTCGCCCGTGCGGAGACCATCTACTTCCCGCATACGTTACGTACACTATTTTTTCACACTTGTGCGGGAAGTTCGAGTGCAGTAGGTTTATGTGAGCAGAAAGAGAAGGAAAGGAAGTTTCGGCTGGTGCCCTCCCTCGTTCGTAAAAAAATATGAAAAACTTTTGAATTATTAGTTACAAAATGAATAATTATTTCTTGAGAAATATTTCTTTGAGAAACCCTATGGATTTTCCCGCATTCCATCCCTATGCTAATTGCGTTTTCTAACGCTCCGTGCGGAAAATAATAGTGCTCAAATTGGGGAAACCCATACTCGACCCGTCTTTTATGACAGGCCATTAAGCGTCAGTACAAGCAGTAGATCTGCGTGTACCTTTACCTACTTTTACTATTCCGCATGCTTATCTCTATCTATTTTTCCTTCCTACCTTCCCGCACGCTTAACCCTACCTACTTTTACTTCCCGCACGCTCTCGTAGCTCTTCCCGCACGCCGAATTACTGTGCGAGAATACTACACTTCCCGTACAGAAAAGGGTGCGGGAAATCGAACTTCCCGCACGCCGTGTGGAATAGTACATTACGATACAAGTGCGAGAAAGTAGATTCGTGTGTCATGTGGCGTTTACGGCCGAGCGAAGCGAGGGTGGAAAGCTACACCAGACGAGAAACTCTTTCCCGAACATATGCCGTACCGTTTTTTTTTGATACGACGTGTGGAAAGTGTGATTTTCAACGCACGTTTTTTGCCGAGCGTGCGGGAAAAACGCACTTTCCGCACGGAGTGTCGAAAAATAATGATAGCCCAATAAATACTTCATGATCTAAATCGAAACAGTCGATAAAAATATAAATGGCTATAAGCTTGAATTGATTGATAATAGTTGAATATTGCTTCTCTTGTACGAATATTGAACAGTAATATTATTTTATTGTTTTTTATTTATTAAAAGAATAACGTTGCTCCTTACATCAACATATCTTGTTGATGATTTAATACCCGGATGCATTGATAAAGAAACATCAGTACCAACATTTTTATTTCATTGCACAAAAAGATCGTTATTCATAGATTTTCTGTTAAATACGTCTACATCCAATTAACTCGTTTCGGCCGGAAACGCCACTTTCGGTACACCGGTCTTCGAGCGCTCATAACTAATGTTACAAGCGTCAAAAAAATCATAAAGACCATATTCTGAAAATTTAAGAGATGACCTTTCCATTGGTGTCCATGAAATTTTTACGAAAAATTGTTTATCTGGGTAAAATTTAGTTAAAAAAAATACTAATTTTTCACATTTTTTGAAATCGAATTTTCAAAAGGTTTGTTTCCGGTGTGTAATGATATTGAAACTTCACTAACAAATGGAAAAAATGTTAGAATTTGATAAATACATGATTCTCGGATGAATTTTCACCTGGGAGTATCTGAAATGGCGACTCAAATGCGGAATTTTTTCCGTTATGTTTATGAATTTTTTACTAAAAACTATTGACTTATAGAAAACCTACCAAAAGAAAAAAGTTTTTGAAATCATGAAAGAAATGCAATGGAATTTTTACAAAGGGCTTCAAGAACATTTTTAGTTTTTGATTAAACAATTGTAAGAATATGTTATTCTTAAAAGTTACCGGTTTGGAATCAACTTCGAACCGGTCTAGATGGATATTATGGACGCGATATCTGAATTTAAAGGATATGGGGTGTCGAAGTCAGTTTGACCAATGAGTCATTTCAAAATAACGCCTGAAGTGCAAAATTTTGGCCGAAAAATTAATGAATTTCTTTCTCGGAAACAAAGCACTTTACCAAAAAATTTCTTAATCAAAAAATTGCTTAGAATTGGTCAAAAAATACACTTGAATTTTTTCGAGAAGTTCTGATGAACTGTGATTTTATAAATTATCAATTTTTGATAATTATAAAAATTTATCAAATCGTTTCGAAAAAAATTTAGATATACTTCTTGGCCGACTAAAAATTTTTTGTTTTTAGTAATTTTTTCGTAAAGTGTTTTGTTTTCAACGAAAAAATTCTCAATGATTACTTTTTAATTATCTGATTATAAGATTTTGAATTTTTTTTCATAGAACCAAGAACTTTACGAAAAAATTACTGAGAACAAACAGTTTTTAGAATTGGCCAAGAAGTATATCTAAATTGACAATTAACAAAATCAAAAAAGTTGATCAGAACTTCTCGAAAAAAATTCAGGTGTATTTTTTAACCAATTGTAAGCAACTTTTCTTGCAAGAAATTTTTTGGTAAAGTGCTTCGTTTCCATAAAAGAAATGTTTCGGCAAAAATTTTGACTTCGGACGCCATTTTGAAATTTCTCATTGGTCAAACTGACTTCGATACCCCATATCCTTAGATTCAGACATCGCGTCCACGATCTAGACTAGTTCGAAGTTCATTTCAAACTGGTAACTCTTTGAAAACTCGATTTGAAAAAAATTATCTTCGATAATAGTGATGTTTGTATTTTAAACAAAATTTTTCAGCACACAAATGAAGTTCTTCGATCATTTAAATGATACCACCCAAAATAGTACAGTTCAAACTATCAGAATACATCTATTGCAATTTTTTTGCTTCGAAATGCAATAGCTGTTAGCGCTGAAAGAGAGGTGTACAAAATATGTCGAGATGGACGTTAATGGGTTAAACTACATTTTACCTAGAAAGGCAATTTTTTGCAAAAATTACTTGCATACATAAAAAAAATCATCTCTTAAAATGTCAGAATATGACGCTCACAATTTTTAGTTACGCCTGTAACACGAATTATGAGCGTTCAAAAACCGATGTACCGAGAGTTGCGTTTTTGGCCGAATCGGGTTAACTAATGAGCATGGTATCAATAAGACGAAATCAAACTCGAGTGACCTTTCCTCCTCGGAAGGGTGCTTTATATGTTGAATTTCGAAAATTTTATACCCGCAAAGCTAATTCTAAAATAATATTCGAATTTTTTTTATTTGCCATTTCACATTTTGAAATATTTTTCTAAAATACTACTGATGTTTATTTAATCAGATTAATTAGTTATTTTTTATGATTTCAGATACTGCTCCAAGCAGTTTTAGTATGGGAGCGAGGTTTCATGGCGCCAGCACCAGTGAAAAAAAATGATATCCTAGCTGGTACGGAATTTTTATCCGTCTTCATTAATGGAGCTATGGCTCCCAGGCCAACAAGGAAACGTCTCAGTCTTCGACGAGGCAATACTGTTATTGCAGATAATGTGCCAGCTGAATCGAAAAACGACGAAGCCAATATTTTTCGAATATCGCGAGCACCGATTACGATAAAACCGACAGTAGCAAGACCACGAACTATAACTACCATTCCTGATGATAGTATGCAATATTATCCAATCAGTCGTAAGCTTTTAGATAATAAACACCACAGCCTTGAAACAATTATAGACGATTTACATCGACCTGGTAACATTTCTTCTAAATTTATAGCAAAACAAGATGTTTTAAGAAAACCTAACAATAATAATAAGTCCCCGATAAGAATAGTAAAACCTATCAACCAAAAGGTCATAGGTGTCAGTGTAACATCATCTGTGGCAGCAACACCGTACATAGTAAGAGTCGAACATAATGATCAAAATGGTATCCCTATGATAACACAATCATCCCCTGTAGTGACAAGTACTATTTACGTTACACCTAATCCACCGTTGGCAAAAGATGTGACATCATCGCCAGCTAGAATTGTCACAGAAGAACTCAGTAATATCGTTTCAGAGTCAAACAGAAGTGAATTTTCAGTGGATGAAAGTGTTCCAAGAACAAGCACACACAATCGTGCTTATACTACTCCAAGACCTACAGCTAGCTATCATTCTAACTCCAGGGATAACAATCAACCTACAGATTCTGCTGTCAGTGGTAGCAATTCCGAGCCTGTTGAGCAAAGATATGAATTTCAAGAACATAATTCTGAAATGAAGGAAATAAACCACGAAATTGCAGAAGTTCATGCACCTTTTTTACGCAATCAAGGTCGTAAAGTTGGTAGACATTTTGAAGACTCGACATATAATCAACCATCTGAAATTCACAATACTAAATTGGAAGGAAAAGGCTATGAAAATCAGAAATCTAAAGCGTTTGAAGAACAAGCAAAAATATATAGTGAACCTGCCAAAGTCTATGGTGAACCAGAAAAAGTGTACAGTGAACCATCTAAAGTTTATTCTGAGCCAGCAAAGATTTATGGAGAACCATCCAAAATCTATAGTGAGCCTTCAAAAATTTATTCTGAACCAGCAAAAGTATATGGAAAGCAGGAAAAAGTTTATTCTGAACCCGCTCGAGTATACTCGGAACCAGCTAAAGTTTATTCAGAACCTGCTAAAATTTACGGTGAACCAGCAAGAGTTTATGATATAAATGGTCATCCGATCGGCGAACCCGATGAAAAAAATTATGAAGTTGATGAGGCAGTTAGTGTCGGTAGTAATGGAAACGTTCATGGACCGCAATCTATGACTGAAGCTACAAATATCGACGAAGATGGCCACAAAGTGGGATACGTCGTCGAAGGGCGTAATTATCGAAAATATCGCGTTGAAGAAAGAACGTCGGATGGATTTATTGTAGGAGAATATGGAGTTGTTAGTCACGATGATGGATCACTGAGAGGAGTAAGATACACTGCTGACGGAACTATTAATCCACGGCTCATTTATGATGCTCTCATGAAATTTTTAGCTCTCTAATAACAAATATCTTTTAGTATTATACTATTTTATAATATTTATTTATATACATTTTTAAAAGAAAAATGTTGTGAAAAATTAAAAAACATCACGCACATATGCTACATTGCAAAGGCCTTTATGTGAACGAAATTAAACTCGTACAATACTGCTTATCTCATATGAGAATTTAGTTTGAGTTTTAGTCTTTTCATGTACTTCGAAAATAGGAAGCTTAATTTATTTCCCTTTTGCTATAGAAAATTTTCCAAATTCATTTATTTGCTCAAATCATGTTTATAGGTATACATATAATTTTTCATAATGAAATACTCGTAAATGTCCTATAATTTAAACCAAAATATTTTTATATATTCCCTTTCTTGATTATGTATATTTGTCAACAGTTAACCCAAGAAATTTATTTATAAGGTACATTACACTACCACGGTTTTATTAGACTATTATTGTTTTGTTATTGATTACAAAACAATTTTTCATTTCATTTTTTATTATTGTAAAGAAAAAATTAAGAATGTTTAATCTTGAATTTCTGTATTAGTTGCAAATTGCTAAGGTTAGATATGCTTTCTTTTATTATAAAGGCTCTTGTAAATATCTTGATATAGCTCATTTTTCAGAATAATATTACATTTAATGCCATCGAGTCATGATGACTAAACGACTGATTCCTTTTGTTCTTTTGTTTATTCTTTCTTGCCAACTCAACTGCCTCAATATTATAATTAAGAGCGATATTTAGTTCATAGGTTTTAGTACGCAAGAAATTTGAATTTGCTTTCGAAATATATACCAGAAGGTGTCTACTATGAATGCAACAAAATTTCATGGTAAACTCAAAGACAATAGTGAAAAAATGTGTATACTATCTGTCGCATGCATCATAGCAACAATTTTTGGTAGCAATAGAATATTATTACTGTATTTAAAATGAAAATAACATTCTTTAGTTTTTAATTAAAAAATTTACGAGTTACATTTGATGAATTAATTCTAATCGTTACAGTACAAGTAAAAACATTGTACGAGTGTATTCAAATTAGAATTCATGTGAAGCTATGATCGTTATAAGATTATATTATTGCATTTGTTTTATACAGCACCGTAAAAAATTTTCTGGCTGTTTTAGAAACAGCTTGCTTCTGGGACGATGGCACAATAAAATATCAACCGTAGCGGCCAGAGCCTCTCGGATTTCTAGATAAATATTTAAATTATTATTTTTACTACATATATACTCATAAAAAATATTAGTTTACTTTACATTTATCAATATTGATGTTATGAACCATTGGTGAATAGTACTATCAAAACATAATATTATTATAAAATTATCTATGTGTAAGCATTGACACTTAATTTAACTCTTAATATAACAACTGTTTTTGAATTTTTTGACTGAATTAGAAAAAATCATGAATTCAATTACACTCAAATCAACTAGATATATTTTGTTTTAATATAATACAAATTTGTTATGTTAACATGTTGTGATGAAGTTGTTTAACACAAACTGACAATTATTTACCCCATTATAACAACAGAATTTACGAAATCCGTCGAAGGCTCCGCCGCTGAGGAGATTGTAAATGTGTCACAGATGAAATCCAGAATAGAAAGTTTATGCATTTTTATAGAATTAGATAGGAAAAACGTGATGCATGCTAATATTAAAGATTCCGATGACATCTAATCATGTAAATGAAAATTAAATAAAATATATTTTCTATTGTGCATGATAATTAATTTTATGCTAGAAAATATGGTACGTTTAGATATAAGTAGATATTTTAGTAACTTGGTTATTTTGATTACCTCAAGTGTTGAGACAGTTCCTCGTTATCTACCGTTTCATCATATACTTGCCGAGTGATCATGCCTTTACAGAAATCACTAAAAAATTTATTGCCTCAGACTTGACACTCATACATAAAGGTAATTTAAAAATGAAAATGGTGTACCCATTTTTGAAAAGTCAGATGTATTTAGCCTATCTCAAAAATAATTGTATTAGTTATAATTTTGCGTATCTATATAGTAGTGTACAAACTTTTCAACTTTTCTCAATTATTATTTTTCATACGCTTATTAACTCGTTGGTTTTTTCTATGTTTTGTTATAATCAAGGCGAAGTTGCAATGTGATTTTTTGTAAGTGTGAGACACATTGACTTTGTTCATTAAATTAATAGGACACAATCACTTTCGATTAAAGTGAGTTCTTGTATTGATCAAAGTTGTCATGTTTATGTGTGTCTCATACATAGTTATTTAGCTCATAACGTTTCTACATTGATTATTATTTTTAAAAGTAAAGAATAAATTTACATTTTTAATCGTAATCATACTTCATAATGCCATAATCCCTACGATTAGCAATGGAAATGGCGTACTTTTGTAAGTAATCTTTACTGTGTTATATATCTGCATGTATAACGTTATATACAGTCATGACTTCGTAAATGCACTTTTGTAATAAATTAATTATTATTTTGAACATTTATCTTTGTTGATTGATTTATTTCATCCTTGCTGTTAAGATAAATCATATACAACATTTCTAATATCTTCCATTATTTCTCCAATTATATATCGCTTAGACGATAATTGGCTGATTTTGCTAAAAATAAAAATACAACATTCACAATTACAAAATATTAGTTTAAAATATAAAATAATTAAAATCTAAGTCAGAAGCTAACATTGAATGTGTAATCCTAATAAAAATAAAGAATTTTTATTATTTAATAACAGTACTGATTCTTACTTTACTAAATTTAATATTTAAAGTAATAGTTATTTTTCATTTGGCGAATGATAATAAATTGTAGTCAACCTAAAATTAACTAGGTATCCATAATCTTCACGTCGAATACTATCATTGTAAGAATTAGATTTTAGCCGACTGCAGAAAAGGAGGAGGTTCTGTATTCGATATGAATTATTTTATGTATATTCGTACATATCGCTAGAAAAATTATGCTAGCGTGATGGCTACGTTTCATTATTGACTTTATTTAAGCATTAATCTGCAAGTAATTGCAAAAGAATAAAGAAGAATCGACTTTTTTAGGGGAAAGTTACTTATGGTATATAAGATCCCTTGATCTATGCCTCCTATGCTATACTTGTGCTAACCGTGTCACATATCGGTAGGCGCTATCAAGCCGTGTACGTACTAATAAATCACTTGAAAACTTGCTTGAAAGTCTAATATATAAATTAGCATGTTTTATATTTGGTATTAATATTAGAGATTTAAAAAAGAATTTTTGCCACGATTTACCACGACCCTACAAAAATAATTGTGATGGAACTCACAATAATAATTTAAATTTTTTCGTTTGTTAAAATGATCGATTTCAATAGATGATTTAAGTGTAAGTAATTTATTGACAAATAATGTACAAATACAAAAATAAACTTGAAAATCTTTGTATTGTTGTCTTATTAGTATAAAAATATTAGTTTTAAAAATTATTAGGCGAAATCTTGTGAATTAAAATTAGAATTATTCTGAAAATAAAAAGAACATCATTTGATCATTGTATTGCGAGTGATCAAGGTAATACCAAGCCTCGTAATGAAAAAGAAAGAAAGACATATTCAGCGTAAAACCGCTAAAGAGAGCAATAGCGTTGATTTCGCCAAGTAACAAGAGCCTCGTCGTTATAGGCGGCGAAGGGGACCTCACGCTTCGTCATCGAGAAAAATTGTGCGAAACTGGCTTCTCCCGAGCACGGCGCCAGATCTGGTCCGAAATAGGAGTTAGCAAAAGATCAGCGAACGTCCTTGGTCCTCGCGGCGACTACGGCATCAGCTAATGTATTACACCGCGAGCGTTGTTATTCGCATGATCACGCACCCGTCCACGTGCTACCCACCCTTGAACCACGATTATTGCCCTGCTCATTTATATGTCAGTGCATGTATTGAGATCTTTACACAAGTAAAAAGTACACTCATATCGTACCTGTCAATCAGCTTACAAGTAATTTAGTCACGAGGTGTTTTCATAGCAGCTATACGTAATGATGTTACTGGTATCAGTTTCTTTTGTAAAAAAAGGTTGTACGCGGATACATTTAAAAGGAAAGAGATGAAAATATACTTTAATAAAATATGTAGCTATAATTGAATTTAACATCAATATCCACTTCGAATTTTATATCCGCAGTATAAACATCATTAGATTGAAAGGCTATATGGAAATGTCTTCTTGTGTTTGTAAGATTACGTCTGGACGAAGACGTTTGGGCGTCTATCGTCGCTGAAAATAATTCATTAATAGTAGCACACAATGTTGAAGTTCCTTCATACAGATGAAATCTCATTCGCAGCCAAAGAAAGAGATTTTGAAATAAAAGTTATATGTAAAACTGAGTTCACTTCAACACAAAGGCACCGAACGCTTAAATCAAATCTTAGTGGGATCAACTTGCATTGTTATTTATCAAGTACGAAATACATACAGACGTATATACACTATCAAGTATATGTTTTGTATATCCCGTAAGCTAGCATGAAAGATAAATGGTAGCCGTGTGATGACAACATGTGATTATTCATTGATATAATTTTAATTGCAGTGTGAACATCGAGTTAGTCTCTTTAGAGAGTAGATTGTCCGAAACATTGACTGCGTGTAAACACTCGCTAAATCTTGTCGGAAGAATGATCTTTTACTCGATCAACTCTGACCGTTCGAAGGTAAAAATTGTTGAAGCGAGATTCTTTCGCGACGGGAGCGATACGAAACCTGATCGATCGGAATGAAAAACAAATGGCAAAGCAAGCAGGAAACCGTAAGATTGAAAATATGTTGAATACTTGGAAAGGCCACTCAAGGCCAATAAATTAACTGTAAACGGTGCTCCATTAAGGCCAATCACGCAGAACAATCCGGAAACCCCATTCCAAACTCAACTAAGCAAGTGTGCGCTCGAAGCCCCCTCGCTCGAATTAAAAAAAGGGCATTATCGGCGCCAGCGGCGGCACCAA